GGGATGGGATGGGATGGGATGGGATGGGATGGGATGGGGATAGGGACGGGGATGGGGATAGGGATGAGGGACAGGAATGGGGATGGGAATGGGGGACAGGGATGGGGATGGGGGACAGAGATGTGGATGGAGGACAGGGATGGGGATAGGGACGGGGATGGGGATGGGGATAGGGATGAGGGACAGGAATGGGTATGCAGACAGGAATGGGGGACAGGGACAGGGATGGGAATAGGGACAGAATGGGAACGGGGATGGGGGATAGGGATGGGGATGGGGGACAGGGATGGGGATAGGGACGGGGATGGGGATGGGAATGGGGACAGGATGGGAACGGGGATGGGGGACAGGGATGTGGATGGGGGACAGGGATGGGGACAGGGACGGGAATGGGGATAGGGATGAGAGACAGGAATGGGGAAGGGGACAGGAATGGGGGACAGGGATGGGGATGGGAATGGGGACAGAATGGGAACAGGGATGGAGGATAGGGATGGGGACAGGGAAGGGGATGGGGGACAGGGATGGGGATAGGGACGGGAATGGGGATAGGGATGAGAGACAGGAAAGGGGAAGGGGATGGGGATGGGAATGGGGGACAGGGATGGGGGACGGGGATGGGGGACAGGGATGGGGGACGGGGATGGGGATGGGGGATGGGGATGAGAACGAGGATGAGGAACAGGGATGGGGAGGTACAGGACCAGGGTGGGGTGGGAGTGGGGACCAGGAGGGATGCGGAGAGACAGGACAGGGTGGGGATGGGGATGGGGATAGGGCTAGGGATGGGGATAGGGAGGGACAGGATGGGGAGGCCCTGAGCCCGGCCCCTGCCCTGCCCGGGCGGGAGCCCTGGCCGTCCCCCTCCCGCTCTCCTGGACTATTCCCTGCCCCAGGGCCGCTCGCTGTCCCTGTCCCATCCCCGTGGTGGGTCCCTGTCCCATCATGGCCCTAGCAGCCCCCGGGGGGGCCCACGGCTCTCCCCAAAGCAGAGTCGGGGGCACCGGGGCCCTCTCGGGTCCCCATGAGCAGCCAAGAGCATCGGGAGTTTGTTTGTTTGTTTATTTACTTGGGGGGGAGATTAGGAAGGATACTGTTGCCATAGCAACAGGGCAGAGGGGAGTGTTGCCATAGCAACAGGAAGGCCAGTGTTGCCATAGTGACTGTGGCCTCCTTGGAGGGGCAAACCATCGCCATGGCAACACAGGGAGGAACGGGAGCAGGCAACCATCGCCATGGCGACAGAGAGGGGCAGGGAGGCAGGGAGACAGTTGCCAGGGAGACAACAGGGGAGGGCATCGCCACGGCGCCCACTCGCCCTAGCAACACCCATCCTTCGCCATAGCAACAGGGAGCCGCGGGATGCTCGCCCGGCCGCGGGGCCCAGGACCGGCACCCATTGGCAGAACCGGGATTAGTGCCGGATCGCATCAATCCATGCAGGAATGTGCCAAGCCAGGCGTGAGGCCGCGGCACCGCCGGGCCCGTCAGGCTGCTTCCTCGGGCCCTGAGCGCAGCAGGACACCACAACCCTCCTCGCTGCCTTTGAACTGATACCAGCGGTTTTATTGCAGTTCTCAGATTTCTCCCCAAAGTCAGGTTTCCCCAATGCTGGGCTCTGAGGTTTAAAAGAACCTGGGTTTAAAAGATCTTTCCCATCTCCCAGCAGTGACGAAAACCTCACGGAAGGTTCTGAGATGCTGGGATGCAGCGCACTGAGCCCAAGACCCCACAGGGATGTGGGTACGAGGTATTTTGGGGCTTTTGCTGCCAAATCAGAATTTCCAAGGCTCCCGCAGGAGAACCGGCTCTGCGGCTCCTTCCCGGCCTCTCTCAGCAGTAACCAGATCCCTGGCCCTCTGCTCTCCTGCATTTAGGGCAAGACTCTTGCCGCCAGCACAACCATGACCCCAAAGCACCAGGTTCGGGGCGTGGGATAGGATACCTATATATAATTTCACCCATTCGGCAGATCCAAGCCCAGGAAGCGCTCACAGGACCCTCGGAGCGAGCGGATTGCATTCCCGCTCCGTGCCCTCCTATAGAGTTACGGGCTCCCTAGCCCCATCAGGGAGGTTACGGTTACAGCCCCCCTCTCCTCTTCTACAAAGCCACTTAAAAGGAGGAAAAATAATCCAGGTGCCTCATTCCACAGCACACTGCGGTCTGGGAGAAATCCCAATCCCAGGGGATCAGGAGGCTGAGGGCGGGGGCTATCTTACCCCCTCATTGCAGGGCAGATTTTTGCCCTCATCCCTGCATTGCTCCATTGGTCCAATACACAGAGCAGGTTCTGGGCACAAACCCGCTGCCCCCTCCATGGAAAAAGGCAACCCAAGCCATTTTTGCAACTTATTTATTTATGAAGTGTGAGGTAACGAAGAAAGTGCTAAATCCGACCACAGTGTTAACTCTAACATGTCTCAGCAGGTCAGGCGGGGGCTGCCGGGGCCGCGGGGGCAGCGACGCTCCCGCCATGTCCCCCGGGAGCCCCTTGGCCAGGGACAAACAGGAGGAGGGAAAGGGGACAGGGAGGGCCCCCCTCCCATGGCAAAGGGGGGAGCCAGGCAGGAACCGGCCCCTTCCCGATCCCCCTAAAGTGCAGTAGGGCCGAGCCCTCCCCCCGCAGCAGGGACCACCCCCCCCCCCAAAAAAAAGGTATATAAAAAACCAAACTCTTTACCAATACTTCTCAAAAAGTGGTACAAAAATACAGTATAAAAACACAGCCTCCAGTATAAGACTCGCAGTAAGAGCAGCGGTTTCTAGGACACACAAAAAATTCAAGACGGGCTAGTGCGTGGAGTGTAAGAAAGTGAGGTAAAGTCCGGCCCGAGCCGAGAGGACCAGCCGCTTGGGAAGAGAGGCTTCCCCACCAGCCCGATCCCATGGGATCCAGCCCCACACAAGCTCCGGGCGCTGCAGCCTACAAAGAGAGGTGGACACACTGGGATAGATCCCAGTAGCGTTATCAGGATGGCAGCAGGACACGTGCGGTGGCTGCAGCGCGCGCCCTGAGCCCCGCTCCAACCAAACAAATGTGCAAAAGGAGCCGGGATAGCGGGATGCCGCGGCTAGTGGCCCTGCAGGTGAGCGATCCGGCGGAGCAGCTGGCTCTGGCGCAGCCGCAGCTGCCGCTTCTCGGCCGCCATCCTGCGCTCGGCGCTGACGAGCGACTGCAGGTACTCGGATGACTTGCTCAGGATCACCACCTTGGGCGTCTTGGGGCAGCCGGCGAGGCCGGGCACCTGGTCCCGCAGCGCGAGGAAGCGCGAGCGCAGGTCGTTGCGCCGCTTGCGCTCCAGGTAGTTGTGGTTTCTCCTCTTGGCCACGTCCTCGGTGTCGGAGCCGGGGGCGCCGGCGCTTTTGGGCGAGCCGGGCTCCGGCAGGGCGCTTTCCAGGGCCGGCTCGACAGCAACCTCCGGCTCCGGCGGCTCCGTCCCGGCGTCGGGCGGCGAGCGGGCCGCGTAGTTGTGCTGCTGCTGGTGGATGGAGATGTGGAAGCGTTTCATGCAGGGGTCCAGGGGGTCAGCGCGCAGCGTGATGGTGACCGGCTGCCGCAGCGCCAGCGATTGTCTCTTCTCCACTGTCACCACGTCGATCTCTTCACCTTCTGCTCAAAAACAGGCACAGCAAAAGCAGATGTCACTTATCAGCCCCTCGGCTGTCACCTGCAGGGCCCAAGCACTCGCCCGCTGCAGCACCAGAGTGGCCAGAGGATTTAAACACCCCACAGCATCACCCAATCCATTTCCATTCCCAAATGGGAATGTCTTTCCTTCTACTTTGTGCACCTGGAATTGGGATAGAGCTTCATTCACCTGCCTCCCCTGGGCACTACAGGCAGCGCTCGCTTGGGATAAAGAAGCAACAGGCGAGAAGATCCTGAGGCACAACCGCCCGCAGAGCACTGAACTCTTGGAAGCTTGGGCAGACACGAGCGCCACGGATCTTTCCGGATCTACCCAGAGGCAGCCGGGTGCTTCCAAGCCCCATTGGAATTGGAAATGAGGGTCTGGGTGCCGGGCGGGCAGCACTGCCCTTTGTTCCTGCACTCCTTTCAGCAACTTGTTACTTCACACAAGTTAAGACCCCGTCCCAGGGCACCGAGGCCTCCCGGGCACCCAACACTGGCCCCAGTGGGGACCAGGAGGGCAAAGGGGGTCCCAGGAAAAGGCCACCAGGTTCCGTGACCCCCCCGGAGCATCCCCTGACCCCTCCACCCCCCTCCAAGAGGGGTACAGCTCAGGGACGGGACAGGGACCCCGCTGCGCCCGGCCGGGGCCACAGCTGCTCTCATCAGTGTCACAACGCGGCCGTTCTCAGCCGCGCGCCTCCGCTCCGCGCGCGGACGGACCCCTCAAAACGGGGGGTGGGGGGGGTCTCCCATTAATAAAAGTGGGTCCGCCAGGCCCCGCCCCCCAGGAGCCGCCCATTGGCTGCCCCGCGGGGCTGGACTGTCCCCGTAGCCGCCGCGCGGGGTCCCCATTGGCCCCCGCGCCCGCCCGTCAGCGGGGCCCCCCGCTCATTGTTTGCAATCTGTTGCTTTTTGTTCGGGGCCCACGTGGCTCGGACGGCACCGGCCCCGGTACCGGCACCGACACCGACCCCGGGCCGCTCCTTCCCCCGCCCCGCATCGCCGTGAAAGCCTCTTAGCGCCCGCGACCTGCTTAGTGGCCCTGCGCTCCTAATGGAATTAAATCCCGGTCCCGCGGCGCGGCCCGGTCTGAGTCACCGCGCGCAGGTGACCGCGCGGCTCCCGCCGAGCGGATTTGTTATCGGGGTCACCGGGACGCGGCCCCCCCGGGGCTGAGCGCGGGACCCCCTCGGGGCTACGGCGGCGTCTCCCCCTAAGCGGGCGAGGGGCCGCTTCTCGGAACCGCCCGCGGGCGCCGGGGGAGCTCCGGGCTGCGTCCGGGCCGCCCCACCGGACAAACCGCCCCCCGGCCGGGAACAAGGGGACCCGCGGCGCTGACCCGCCCGGGGGAGGCGGCGGAACCGAGCGGGGAACGGAGCGCGCCGGAAAAAACTTGCCACGCTGCAAACTTCGCCCGGCCCGGGACGCGGCGGCAACGCGCGGGGAAGTGGGGTGTCCCGGTGGCCTCCCTGCCAGCGGCCGGGATTGCCCGACACGAATCCCCCGGGAAGAGAAGCGGGCAGCTTCCCTTTGTTCTCGCTGCCAGGACCGGCAACAAAGGCGCTGCCCGGAGTGGAGGCTCCGGCCCGGGCGCCCCGGTACCCTGAGCCCTTCCTTACCCGAATCGCTCTGGCCCTCGGATCCCGAGGACGGCAGGATCTTGCTGTCGGGCAGCGGGCACAGGAAGACGGCAGCAGGATCCACGCACTCGCTCAGCGAGCTGCTGAACCCGAAGTCGTAGGCGAAGGAGGGTTTGTGGGCGCTCGCCCTGGGCGGGCCAGCGGAAAGTTTCTCCGTCATCGCCTTTTCCAGTCTTTCTCGCGCCGAGAAGCCACTCCACATGCAATCCTTGAGGATGAAGGCGCTCAGGTTCCCAAAAATCTCCCCCGTGTCTATGAGATACTCCGGCTCTTCCCCGGCCAGGCAGGAGCGGGAGAGCCAAGTCGCTCGCTCCTCCGCGCCGGAGCAACAGGCTTTGTCCCCCGGGGGTCCCAGCGGCGACAAGGGCGGCGTGGGCACCAGCTCGAACTTCTTCCAGATGTCCTCGCTGGGCGCCGTGGAGCGGTAGGAATCCTCCTCGGCCTCGTGGTCGTAGAAGTAGTGCTGGAAGGAGTCCAGCTCCATGGCTGCATGGAGAAGCTGGCGGACAGAACCTGGCGGAGAGCCGCGGATCAGGGGCACGTGGCCGGGGACACCCCGGGGGGCCGGGAAAACCCTCCGGCCACCAAGGTGGGGGCGTCCCCGGCTAGGACAGGGCCACCATGACCGCCCCCCGGGCAAGGGGGCTGCCCCCCGCCCAGCACGCACCTCCCGGCGCGGCGGCAGCCCCCGGGCCGGGACGCGGCGCATTGTTTCCCCCCGCTCTTATAACCTGTCTGCGGCTCCCGGCCCCACCCCGACACCCCCGGCAGCCAATCGGCGGGCGGATATCTACATAAAGGGCGGGAATGGCCCTTTCGCCCCGCCCCCTTGAAGGGGGGGGGGTCAGGGGGCACACTTTTAAATATCTCGGTGGTCTCCGGGCACATCCCGGCCGAGATGCCCCGGCAGCCCCGGGCCCTTCCTCGGGCACCTGCAGCCCTCGCTGCTCCCTTCCCCACTTGCCCTCGAACCCCCGGGGACCCCAAGGCAGCGCCCAGGTCACCTGTATCCCCCCCGAGGCCCCTCAGGACCCGCGGCAGGCGCCTTGCACATGCAGTGGGGCGGGCGGGATGTCCCGCTGCAGGCGGTCACCGGAGCAAGGAGCTTATTTGATTATCAAATTCCTCCCGTGAATACGATGCCGGCGCTTGCAAATTCCCAACCAAATCGGCCGCCAGGAGCGTGAGAATGGCACAGATACAGATTTCATATGAAAAGAAAAACCCAAAAGCTACAGCTTAGCCAAGCCTCAAGCACAGCCTCTCCCATGCTTGCAAGGAGGATTTTGGTTGCCTCCACCCAGGTACCTTGCAGCCTCCCACTGGGAAGTGCAGCTGGAAAACTAGTGCTGGGGGAACCAGGCTCTTTAGTCTTGAATGGGCTGGACAGGACAAGGAGATGAGTGAAGGCTGATCCAGGCCTTGCCATGGGCTCCCAGTAGCCTCTGTCCAGCCCGGCAGCCAAGGGCCCTTTTTTTGGTGACTTGGGGGCTCCAGAGCTCCCTGCTGCCCTCAGGTCACCGGGATGCAGCACATGGCCAATCCTGTGTGTTGCCATCTCCCCTGCACTTCACCCCGCTGGGTAATTATTACCACAAATGAACGGTTTTCCCTGCTCGGTGGATGACATGGCTCGGTAGGACATGGTTGTCCTCAGGGGACCCGAACAAGCCCAGCTGGGACACAATGTTTTTTCCAACACCAAAGTCCTGCTGGGAAGAGCTGTAAACTCATTGAAAGCTTGGGAAGGCTCCCGCCTTCCGCAGCAGCCGGGATCAGTACTCACGTGCCACTACAAAGTCCGCCCTGGGGTGAGCGGATGTGTTTCCAGCCACTGGCGCTCTCCTAGTGCCCCATTTCCCTTTCCCATGTAAGCCCCGAGGCGGGAAGCACTCGCAGCATCCGCAGCTCTGCCAGGGACGCGTCCTGGGAGCCACGAGCCCCATAGAGAAGCCCCTGACATCGATCCCGGGAAGGGCAGCGAGAGCCGCAGCTCGCGCCCAGGGCCACGGGGCCGAGGGGAGGAAGGTCCGTGCTCCTCCTCAGCAACCCCAAACCTCCATCATCAGCCAGACCCATGAGGGTTGTGAGGATCAACCGCTTGAGCATCAGGAGCGCTCAGGAGGTGACAGGGACCAAATGGTGCCTCCTCCTCCCCGCAGGGGACCAGACGGAGAGACTGGCCCCGGCTCAGGCACCAGCGCGGCCCGGCGGGTGCTGAGCGGGGTCCAGCCCGGCCCGGTCCTGCCCAGTCGGGTCCAGCCCGGTCCCGGTCCCTCCCGGTCGCCGCTGGGCGGGCGCGGGGCGCCACCTGCTGGAGCTCGGGCCCGGCGGCCCCGGAGCCGGCAGCACCGCGCACGGCCCGGTACCGGTTCCGGACCCCGCTGCAGAGCTCGGCAGGAGCCCTGGGCCGGCCTGGAGCCCCCGCGCCCCTTGTGTTCCCCTCGGGGATGCCCAGGGAGGGCAGGGCTGCGCAGCGCGCCCAGCATGATGGCCAAATGAAGGTTCTTGGGGGCCACCGTGACTCAGTTTCCCCCTGCGGACCCAGCAGACAGCAGCAGGGAGGCCGAGGAGCAGGGGCCCTGACCGGCTGCTGTCCCCAAGGCCCGCGGGGGGTGTCCCAAGGGCAGCCCCAGCCCTTCCTTGCTCCTATGAGCTGCATCTGAGCTTGCAGAGCTTGGCCAGGCCCTGCGATGGGGACACTGCAGAATGGGGACATTGCAGAATGGGGACAGGGAGGGTGCTGAGCACCGCACAAGGGTGCTGGGCTCCCAGGCCCAGCAATGTGGCTCCTGCCCACACAGCATTGCAATTCCTCAGCCACGAGAGGGAGAACTGGGACGGAGCAGCCAGGTGCTGGGGATCCCTGGAGCCTCCAGGTGCCCCGGAGGATGGAGGGGGCCAGACCAGGCTCGTCCCTGTCCTCGAAGGAGTCTCCAGGCTGCCCGGTCCAGCCTGGCCAGCACCATCACCTGAGCAAGCAATTCCCACAGCCTTCCAGCTCTTGGCCATCACGTCCCACCCTGGTGGCCTCAGGGACTTCCAAGGGTTTCCCAGGGCTTGTTGGAGCACGACCCGGCTTCCAGAGGCACCGAGGCCTCACGGGAGGGGATGGAGAGGCCACGCCAGCCCCCGCAGACCTCTCATCCTGGCCTCTCCAGGTGGGACAAACACGAGCTGAGAGCCTCTCCTGGCCCGCGGCGCCCAGCGAGTGTTTGCACCGGCTGCACAAACATCCTGGACTAGCCCTGGGCACCAGGGCGGCAGGGGAAGGGGCGAGGGGATGAGCCAGCAGCCTCCTCCCTCTTCCTCCTCCTCCTCTTCCTCCTCCTCCTCTTCTCCCTCCTCCTCCTGCTGCTCCCGGCCAGGCTGCACCCCGCTCCGTTGGCCCGGAGGGCGGCAGGGCTCCCCGGCTGGCACGAGCTGCTCCGACATCCCTGCAACGCCGGGCACGGCTCTGCCCGCACCTGGCACGGCTCCGGCATGACTGCAATTCCCAAAAGGCACCGTGCCCTTTGGATTCCCCTGACAGCACGGCCGGACTTTGAAGCTCCAGCTCAAACGCGCTTCTCCACAGTGCACAGCCTCCCCCAGAGCCCTGCACCCCCCAAATCCCAACCGGGTCCAGCAGGAACAGCGGAATTCCCAGTGCCCACCAGGAAGGAGTCACAGCCATTCCAAGAGGAAACCGCAGAGCTTCCAAGAGGCAGTGGAGGCTGTGAACGCAGCCGTGATGCCCTGCAGCCTCCCTGCTCGGTCAATGCCCCTTTGCTGTGGCCTCGCGCCTGCACCACCAACCACCCTGCCAGGGACCCGGGAACAGCCCCATCCTGCTCCTGTCCCTGTGACGCTCCCATGGGATGGTCTAGCACGTGGGGCCAGCTGGCGCGTGTGCCCTGCTGCAACACGTCCCCTTTCTCCCCAAGAAAACGTTGGGAAAGAGCAGCAGGATCTCTGGGAAAGAGCAGCGGGAGCTGCCAAGCCCTGGCCCAAGGGCTGCCCTGCAGTGTCCCCAGCCAAGGTGCCTCTCAGTGCTCCCGATGGATGCCAGGAGATGCCAAGAAACGCTCGGAGCCTCCTGTGCACCGGGGCCTGGCCTGGCCACGTTGGGCAGCCGGTAGCCGGGCCCAGGGCACCTGCACGTGGCACCAGCTCTGCCGGGTGCCCTGGGTCCCTGCGGGGCCGATTGGGGCGTCTCGCCGCCTGCCCCGCAGCCCTTTGCTCGCCCTCCTTCGCTCCCCGCCGGGCAGGGCCGCTGCGTTTCGGGTGCCCTCCCCATTGCCCAGCGCCTGCCCCGGGCCTTGCTGCACCCAGCACCCGCAGAGCTGCTCCCTCCCTATCCCCGGGCTCGGCAGCTGAACGGCAATTCCGGAGGCTCCTTTGGTGCTGCATCCTGCAGGATCCTCCCCAGCATCTGCTGGAAGGGACCAGATTCCCCAGCAGGAAACTGCAGGGAGAAGAGCCTCCCAATCCGGGGAAGGACACGGAAGGCGCTGTCCTGCTCTCTACCTCTGCGGCGTCTGCACATGGAGGCTACTGCTACCGGGAGCCTCCCTGCCTCGGTCCTGGCACGAAGGGCTGCTTGTTGCCCTCCTGAAGATCTCTTTTGCCCAAGGCAGTTTCTGGGTGCTTTGCTCAAGGACCAGGAATGCCCAAAACATCAGGATCTGAAGAGCTCTGGAGAAGAAGAAAGCTAGGAATCCCAATGTATCAGCCCTAAGGATGAGGTTACTCCGGAGCTGACGGGGTGCCTGGGTGCCCTGCAACCCTCCCTGCTCCTGCAGGAGAACCTGGCACATCTCCACTTTGCAGGGAGAGACCGGAGCAGGGCCGGTTCCAATGGGGGCCGCGCCGGTGCCATTCACTTCAACGTGGACTCCAACACATAGCCCAATGGATGGCGAGATGTCCCCCGGCGGCACCAGGGACACTGCTCTGGGTGCTGAGCCCTGCCCAACTCATCGCACCTCTCTGCTGATTGTACTGCGAGGCTCCCAGCTCTGCCCTCGGGACATGCAAACCCGGCCCTGCCTGGCTCAGCATCCGTCTCAGTCTCAGCTCAGCCAGGCTGGCTCAGCATCCGTCTCGGCTGAACCGGCCCAGGGAGCGGAGCCGGCACCACTCGCCGCCCGCCCCGCGCTCCCTCATGCCCCGGGGCTGCATGAGCAGATGGGCAGGAGAGGAGTTTGCCCGGACGCCCTTCCCAGCTGTGCCCAGGGTGACTCGCTGATGCACCGGGACGGGCAGGAAGCGCCAGCGTGACGCGCACCTGGTGACACCAGTGGCTGCCCGGGGCTCCACGGCTTCTGCTCCCCGAAGCCTTGGAATTTCCTCGGCTGCTGAAGGGCCCCATGGGTGGCAGCGGGCGGCCACCCTCCGAGCACCGGCACCGGTTTGGCTGCAGAGGATCCCACTCCAGGCTTTGGCGGTGGGCACGGAGTCCCCCTTTCCTTTCGGAGTGTCCCGCCCGCGGGCTGCAGCTCCGCAGACTTTGCAGCGAGCAGCTCGGACACGGCAGGCGCTGCCGGCAGCCAGAAGGGCGACGCGGGCGCCCAGCGGCGGCTCCCGACGCCAGGGCCGGCGGCTGCACCCGGCTCCTTCCCTGCTCTCCAAATTCCTGCCTGGGGGAGGGGAAGCCAAGGCAGCTGTTGCAGACATTTTAAGGAACTTTGGAAAACTTGGAAGGTCGGGACCATCCTGGCTCATGTGGGGGCTGTTCGGACCGAGGGGGGGGTCTCCGTGTCACAGTCCCAGCCCTACATCCGGCCCCCTGCCCTCCTGAACCGGGTGCCCAAGGGACACTGGGGCTCCCAGAGCCTCTGCTGGCACCGTCCCCTCCACTGGGAAACCCGGCTCTTGGGCAGCTTCTCCCTCCTCCTCCTGCTCATCCACCAGGACAGAGGCCTTGGAGCTGAGGAGGGAGGGGAAGGATGGGGCAAGAGATGGGGTGGAGGGGGGAGAGGAATGGGAGAAGGGAGGGGGTGGAAAGGCAGGAGGATAGGGAAGGGGATGGGGAAGGGTGTGGGAAAAGGGATGGGGAAGGGGGTGGGAAAAGGGATGGGGAAGGGGTTTGGGAAGCAGATGAGGAAGGGGATGGGAAAAGGGATGGGAAGAGGGATGGGAAGAGGGATGGGAAGAGGGATGGGAAGGGGATGGGAAGGGGATGGGAAGGGGATGGGAAGGGGATGGGAAGGGGATGAGGAAGGGGATGAGGAAGGGGATGAGGAAGGGGATGAGGAAGGGAGTGGGGAAAGGGATGAGAAAGGGGGTGGAGAAGGGAATGAAGGAGAGGGGGTGGAAAGACAGGAGGATGAGGAAAGGGATGGAAAAAGAGATGGGGAAGGGGATGAGGAAGGGGATGGGGAAAGGGAAGAGAAAGGGGATGGGGGAAGTGATGGGGAAAGAGTTGGAGGTGAGGGGGTGGAAAGACAGGAGGACGAGGAAGAGGATGGAAAAGGGGATGGGGAATGGGAGGGGGATGAGAATGGGGAAGGGGATGGAGCGGAGTCAGGGACAAGCAGCTGGGACAGAGCGGTGCAGCTGAGGAAGGCCAGGCCTGCGAGGGGGAGGGGAGGAGGAGGAGGAGAAGGAGGAGGAGGATGGGGAGGAGGAAGGGGCGGGCCGCGCGGCCCCATGTAGCGCGCGGGCGCGGCGCGGCGCGGCCCATTCATCGGCGGGGCGCGCAGCGGGCATGGCCGGGGGCGGCGGCGCCGAGCGGAGCCCCCCCGCCGCCACCGCCGGCCTCCTGCCGCCCGCCCGGAGCCGCCGCCGCTTCCCGGCCGCTTCCCGGCCGCTGCCGGTGCCGCTTCCCACTGGGATCGGTGGCACTGAGCGCTGTCGCTGTCGCAGGAGGGCCGCGCCAAGCTCTCGGTGTGCAGCAAGCTCTGCTACGCCGTCGGCGGGGCTCCCTACCAGACCACGGGCTGCGTGCTCGGCTTCTTCCTCCAGATCTACCTGCTCGACGTGGCGCAGGTAAGAGGTGGCCTGGGACGCGCGGGTCCCCCCGTGTCCCCAGGGGGGTCCTTGGGGCAGCGCTGCCTATGGGTGCTGGCTGGGTGGGCTGCAACGCGCTGGATTTGCCGGCGCCGCTTCCCTGCGGGAAGTTCCAGAGCTTCCGTCATGCTGGAGTTGTCTCCGCTTTGATGGGAGATCTGGGCTCCTCGCGGTCACGTCCCCGCCGCGGCCACCCCCGGGCCGCCCGCTTGCGCCGCGTGGCCTCGTGCAAAGTCATGTGGCCGCTCAGCGCCTTGGTTTTCCCAGGATATCAAATAGGATCGTGCTGTCCATCCTCTCGTAGGGTCATGATCCACCCCGTTAATCCTGGCGGAGCTCCCGGGGCAGCGCGAGCAGCCCTGTCAGCTCCATGGGGTGTATCCGCGCAACTTGCTCCCAAGACAGAGGAGTTTTCCAGGAAGAAAAGCCACTGTGGGGCAAGGGGCAGCCCTGGAGCAGACGGGAGAGTTGAGTCCAGCGTCCCGGGTGCCCTGAAGGATCAGGAGAGGCCGGGGCCCCGTCCCTGCTCCCAAGGGGGTGTCGGGCCAGGCACGGAGCTCGCGGTGGTTTCGCCAGCCCTAACACGTGCTCTGCCTCTTGCAGCTGGACCCTTTCTCTGCCTCCATCATCCTGTTTGTGGGGCGAGCATGGGACGCTGTCACAGACCCCATGGTGGGCTTCTTCATCAGCAAAACCTCCTGGAGCCGCTTTGGCCGCCTCATGCCATGGTGAGAGGCTCCGCGCCGGGGTCCCTTCGTGATGCGTCACTGCAATTCCCGGCCGGCAGGAGCTCGTGGGTGTCCCTTGGCACGAGGCCGGCACGGTTGGATGGGCTCCCGCTGCGTCTTGCCCGGTCACGTTCCCGGTGCGGTGACAGGCAGCGCGAGGAGCTGCCGATGGCCGCACTCGGGTCGGCACAGGCTCCTTGGAGGAGCCCGGAGCTGCCTCGGCACTAGCTGGGCCCGGCTTCCCTATGGAATGCTAAAGCTGGAGCAGCTCCAGCCGGGTCCGGGCCGCGCTCCGGAGCGGGGGTGGCCACGGGGCTCTGCTCCCAGCCATGTCACTGGTGGCTGCCGCCAGCGGAGCAGGTGGCATCGTGGCGGGAAGGGCCGTCGGGGCAGGACAAGGAGCTGCCACTGCTCTGGGTGCCCACGGGGTTGGAGCAGGTGGCACTGGAGCTCGGGGAGCCCAAAGGGGCTCCTAGGGGCCCATTGGGAGCAGGACGGCAGATGCTGATGCCAAAAGGTCCCGCGCCAAAATAAGGGGTGTCACAGGTGCCCGTGGGCCCCTGGAACACGGCGCGGCAGAGGGGAGGAATCGGAGGGAGGCAGTTGTTCCCCTGCAGATTACAGCCTCTGTTTCCAGGCTTTCCCGAAATAGTGCAGGGCAGCGTTGCCTGTTCCCTAAGCCAGGGCCTGAAATAGCTGCCGTGCCGTGCTGTGCCATGTGGGCTCTGTGCTCTGAGAGCAGGGGCAGGGCCGTGTGGGGCGGCCAGGGCCACCGCGGCACCTCTAACCTTGCAGTGGTGCCGGGGGTGGGCATGGAGCGGCCACATCCCACCAAGAGGTTCCTTAAAATCAGTCAGGACCGCTGTGCGTGCGGGACCCCCAGGCGCGTGGGGAACAGGCCCCAGGCTGGCGCCGGGCTCTTGGTGGTGGCTCAAGGGCAGGTGGGTCCAGGTTGAGTTGAGCTGCCCTGGAGAGACCTGGACAGGAGCCCCCCCGGAGCCGTGCGGTCCAGGTGGGAGCCCCCCCGGAGCCATGGGGTCCGAGTGGGAGTCCCCGGGAGCCGTGGGGTCTTGCAGCCGCTGCAGCTGCTCGCTGCTGCCTCAGTTTCCCTGCTTGCAAAGCCAGGAGCTGTGGGGTGACCTCGGGGGCCACCGCACGGGCACCGACCCCTCGGCACCCACGGGGTCACCCACACAAGGCCCTTGTCCTTGCGCTCCCGCCGGGCCGCAAGGCTGAGCCCCGCAGCACCCCCGGCTGTGTCCGCGCCCCGGGGACGCCGCTTTGTCCCCGGCTCTCGGCCGCGGTGCCGTCGGCGCCCTCGTGACGCCCTCCCCGCGGGGCGGCGTGCGGAAACGGTTAAGCGCCGCGCGGGAAGGGGGTGCGGAGCGGCACAAAGGAACACGCCAGGCGCCGGGGCCAATGGGCGGGCGCGCGCGTCACCGCCGCCGCCTCCGCGGGGTCACTCGCAGTCACCGGGAGGTGGGGAGCGGGCGGCGCTGGGGGCCCCGGGCGGGCGGGCGCCGTGGCTCCACGTTCCCCCCGCCCCGTGGGTGCGCGCGCCGATAAGCGGGAGCGGCGCCGGGAGCCCCGTCGGGCCCTTCCCTCCCCCTCGCCGGAGTGACGCGCGGGCGGAAAAATGTGCGAGTGCCGGGAGCGGCCGGCCGCCAGAGAAGGGCTTGGGCCCTCCCCGCAGGTGCCGGAGGGGAAGCCGCTCCCCTCCGGAGCCTCCGTGCTGTGTCCGGATCCGGCCCCGCAATTCCGGCATGCGGCCACGAGGCGCGAGAAGGAGAAGCCAGGCAAAAGGCGGCTCCTGGAGTGATCCCAGCGCAGCCTGGGTCACTTCCCGTCGGGAAGAGGGTTTCCTCCTGAGTGGCAGGCGCTTTCCCGTCACTGCAGCTCCGTCATTGGAGTCTCCATGGGCTCCGGCACTGGAGCCTCTGTGGGCTCCGGCACTGCAGGGCGCTGGGCAGAGCCGCCGCTCCAGTGGGATAAGGGCTGTCCCGGCGCTGCCCGGAGCGCTGAGATGTGTCCGTGTCCTGCCAGGACGCTGGCCAAGCCCCGGTGCTTGAGCGAGCTGCTGGGATCGTCCCCTGCGGCACGCGGCATCCCGCGTCCCCCCAGAGCCCGGGACCCGCACCCTGCAGCCGGGAGCACCAATGTGGCCCTGGCCGCTGGAAGCTCCAGCAGGGCCGGGTCAGTCCCTCCGCTTGGAGTGGGATCCATTCTCATGGATTCCGCCCTTTCCCTGGGTGCCTGAGTCAGCCCCAACCCCTTCGCATGGCAGCCGCCCCGAGTTGCTGCCTTTGGCCGGGTCTCAGCAGTTGCTCCCTCTTGTTGGGGACTTGGAGCACACAGAGATCCTGGGTGGCTCCGAGGAGCCTCCGGAATGGGGTGCCCAGACCCCATGGAGGTGCCCACAGGCGCAGCTGAGCCCAGCAGCGCCCCGGGGTCCCCGTTGCCCGCGGGGCTCACTCTGTCTCCTCCCCAAGGATCATCTTCTCCACGCCGTTTGCCGTCATCTCCTACTTCCTCATATGGTTCGTGCCGGACATCTCCAGCGGCCAAGTGCTCTGGTACCTCATCTTCTACTGCCTCTTCCAGACCCTGGTGACGGTGAGTGGGGCTCCGCGTGCGCCAGGGCTGGGGGTGAAGGGGCAGGCTCCCCTTTCCCCCGGTGTCACAGCTTGTCCCCAGGCTCATTTTCCTCCCCATGTCCCTGCAGTGCTTCCACGTGCCCTACTCGGCGCTGACCATGTTCATCAGCAGCGAGCAGAGCGAGCGGGACTCGGCCACCGCCTACCGTAAGAGCCTTCCTCTGCCCTCTTCCTCCCCGGCTCCGCGGGCAGCTGGTGCTCATCCCGGGCCCAGGCTCCCTCACGGAGCGGCATTCCCGGCTCTGGGAAGGCCGCGCTCAATCCCGCTGGCTTCCCCACCCAGGAATGACGGTGGAAGTGCTGGGCACCGTGCTGGGCACCGCCATCCAGGGCCAGATTGTGGGCAAGGCGGATACCCCGTGCATCCAGAGCGCCGTCTTCCTTGGCGAGACCAACTCCTCGGTGGCCATGGAGGAGGTGAACATGACGCACGAGCCCGGCTCGCTCACGGACACGGTAGGCACGGGGCACCCACGGCACCGCCTGCTCCGTGCCCCTTGCGGCGGCTGCTTGTGCCCACGGGCAGGGCAGCCTCCCGGGAGGAGCAGCGGCCTCTCTCATGGCTCCCCGTCTCTTGTCGCGCAGAAAAACGCCTACATGATCGCAGCGGGGGTCATCGGCGGCCTCTACGTGCTCTGCGCCGTGATCCTCTCGGTGGGCGTGCGGGAGAAGAGAGGTGAGCTGGGCCTCGGGCTGCTGCTCAACAGGGAAACGAGGGCTGGTGATGCCCCGTGGGCCACCTTGGGGTGACAGGGTCTTCTGGCGAGCGGGTCCTGCTGCGTGGACGCTCGCTTGTCTGTAAAGAGCAGAAAGAACAAGCAGGGGACGTGTTCCAGGGAAAAGCTGTTGGTCTGGGGTGCAGAGGAGACCCTGGTGCTACGTTATAGTCTTTGGAGTGAGTTGCAAGCTGTGAAGCCCTGCAGTGTGCAGAAACACTGGGGGCTCCTGCAGAGGCTGTGGCTCCTGCCCGGGGCATCGCTGTGAGCCCTCCCCGCTCCTTGGGCAGCGGCGTGCGGGGCAAGGAAGGTTTTGCAGAGGGCAGCGTTGTGGGAAGGACACGAACGGAGCATCTTCGGGGGGGTGTTACAGCAAAGCACAGCCCCAAAGAGTTATCTGCCTTATCGGCCTCTCGGAGATGAATGTAATCCAGGCCAGGCTTGGCTGGCAAAGTCTCCAGTCTCCCGGGATGTCCAAGGTCCAGCAGCGTGTCCTTCCCTCCCTCTGCTTTGTGGCCAGCTCAGCTCATGCCAGGCCAGTCACTGGGCCCTTCCTTTCCCCTCTGTCCGGGCCCTGTGGTGGGTGCTCTGCTGGGTGCTGCACCCCAGGCTGCTGTTTCTGCTGCTCTGACGATTCCCCGATTCTGCTCTGCACCGCAGAGGCCTCGGAGCTGCAGTCGGATGAGCCCGTGTCCTTCTTCCGGGGGCTGAAGCTGGTGATGAACCACGGCGCCTACATCAAGCTCATCACCGGCTTCCTCTTCACCTCGCTGGCCTTCATGGTGAGGCCGCGGTGGGGCTGGGAGGGCGAGGGGGACAGCGGTGCTCGAGGGCTGGGGTACAAGCACGCAGGGATCCCGGTGCGACCGGGCTGAAGAGCCGGAGCAGCTCCGGGTGGAGAGGGAATGTGGCCTTGGATGGGCTGGTGAACGGCTGCTCCGTTCCCCTGCTTTGGGCACAAGGAGAGCGTGTCCACGTTGGGGCCGGTGGGCTGTCCCTGTCCCCCCACTAACCTGCCCTCTGCCTCCTCCGCAGCTGCTGGAGGGCAACTTTGCCCTGTTCTGCACCTACACGCTGGGGTTCCGCAACGAGTTCCAGAACATCCTCCTGGCCATCATGGTGCGTCTGGGCTGGGATCGCGCTGCAGGAGCCTGGGACTCCCGTGGATCTGCCCCCGTGATGGGCGCTCGAGGGGAGGGAGGCTGTGGGGCAGTGACCAAAGGTGCCCTTGGCGATGGGGGAAGGAGCTCCTCAAACTCCTTGCAAAGGCCTCGGCCGGCTGCTGAGAACAGCAGGGCTTTTGTTCCCGTGCGAAGGCGGCCAAGGACGGGGGGAGAACAGGAGCTGGGGGGGCCTCTTGTCCAAATCCTGCCACTTCTCTCTCCCTTCCCCCTCGAGAAAAGGATGCCAGGGGTTATTGCCAGGAGGACGGAGTAAAACAGCTCCCTTCCCAGCCCACTGGGTGCGGGAGGAGGACGGAGTCCTGGGACAAGGCAGCCCTCTGTCCTCCCGCTCCTGTTGCATTGGAGCAGCGTGAGGGGACTGTCACCCAGCTCCATCCATCCCCAAGGTGTTGCCAGGAGCTGAGCAGGCCCTGGCTCCCGCTGCACCCTGTTCACACACCAGTGCCACCAACAGGGCCCTTCCTGGCTCTGGGAATCGGGGACAAGGATCCCGATGGGGGCTGCAGGTGCCGGACAGGCACTGGCCCCTGGGGTGCAGGTGGCCCCAAGGAGCCACTCCAATCCCAGCTCCCTTCCTGGCGATGGGATGCAGGAGGCTGGCGCAGGCAGCGGGGCCGTGGAGTGGGTGGGAATGGGAGGGCCGGGAAGGATGGGCCAGGGCATGGGGAGGAGGCTGCGCTTCTTGCTGGGACGTGATCTGGCCTTGCAGGAGATCTGGCTGGTGACAGGACAAAGGGCAATGGGTGCAAGCTGCACCACAGGCAGCTCCATCTCCCTGTGAGGAGGAACTTCCTTACTGTGAGGGTGCCTGAGCCCTGGAATGGGCTTCCCAGGGAGGCTGGAGAGGCTCCTATTCTGGAGATCTCCCAAACCTGCCTGGATGCGACCGGGTGCCCCGAGCTCTGGGTGTCCCTGCTGGAGCACGGGTTGGACTGGATGATCCCTAGAGGTCCCTTCCAACCTCAACCATTCTGGGATTCTGTGAGATCTTGGCTGTTAGTAACGCCGCGACCCGCTTCCTTCCCCGTAGCTCTCGGCCACCCTGACCATTCCCCTCTGGCAGTGGTTTCTCACCCACTTCGGGAAGAAGACTGCGGTCTACGTGGGCATCTCGGTAAGCGGGTCCCCTTGGGCACAGAGGCGCACGGCGGGATGTGCATGGGGCAAGCCGATCTGCGTGCCCGGAGCTGGCCGCTTTGGCATCTGCCCTTCCTGCTGCCTTCTGTGCTACCGCAAACGTGGCTGCGGATGGAAGTGGCGGCGTCCGGACGTCCTGGAATGGCCCTGGGGGCTCCGGGAGGAAGCCAGGACCTTCCCGAGCGCGAGAGGGCGATTGGGAAGGGCTGGGGTGGCTGCTCAGGCCAACCGAGCCTTCTGCCCCCTTTCCAGTCTGCCATCCCCTTCCTCATCATGGTGGTGGTCCAGGACAGTAACCTCGTCGTCACCTACATCGTGGCCATTGCGGCTGGCATCAGCGTCGCAGCTGCCTTCCTCCTGCCCTGGTGAGTGCAAGGTCCCCACGTTACCCGCACCTCTTGGCTCAGCCTGGAGTCCTTGCAGGGCCTTTTAAGTCCTTGTGAGGCCTTTCTTTTGCCATGTTTCAGCCCAAGATGGGGGTGTGGGTGTTAAATCCCCCAGGAGAGGCAGGAGGATGTCCACGCGTTCACCTTGCCCCTCTCCGTGCAGGTCCATGCTCCCGGACGTCATCGATGACTTCAAGCTGCAGCACCCGGACTCCCGTGGCCATGAAGCCATCTTCTTCTCCTTCTACGTCTTCTTCACCAAGTTCGCCTCTGGGGTCTCCCTGGGCATCTCCACGCTCAGTTTAGAGTGAGTCCTTGCAGGAATGGGGGCTGAGGAGCAAAGCCAGTCTAGGCTCTGTGTCTGGGAGCCTTTGTCTTCCAAAGTCTGCTCTAAATCCATAACCTTTTCCCAAAGGGAAAACACAGCCTTGTGCAAACTCGCCTGTCCTTAAGCCATGTCCTTAAGCCTCGTGCTCGGAGCAAGGGCATCGCTGAGGTTCTGGGCTAGCAGCCGTGATGCTGCTGTGGCTCAGGGCACCCTGGAGGCAAAGCCCTGTCCTATAGCCAATGCCCCTGCCCCAGGAGAGCTCCTGCGCCTCGGGACAAGAGCTGCTGGCCGGTATTGAAGGCTCTTCCCTCTCTGTAGCTTTGCAGGGTACCAGACCCGGGGCTGCTCCCAGCCCAGCGAGGTGAATTTCACTCTGAAGATGCTGGTGTCGGCGGTGCCCGTGGGGCTCATCCTGCTGGGCCTGCTCCTGTTCAAGCTCTACCCCATCGACGAGGAGAAGCGGAAGAAAAACAAGAAGGCCCTGCAGGACCTAAGGTGAGCGTTGCTCAGCTCCCAACGGCTCCCAATGGCTCCCGGCTGTCGCAGGGAGTTGCAAAGTGGGGAGGATGACGTGGGTGTGCGAGGCAGGATCAGACTGGGCTGGCGGGAGCCCAGCACGGTGCGTGCAGGGCCCTGCAAGGAGCCGTGGGTGGCAGGCAGGTGGAGAGGCTCCCTTTCCCAATCCCGTCCGCGGAAACAGTGGCGTGAGGCATGAGGTGGCAGCGGGGAAGCTGCCCCGAGGTCTGGGAACACGGGCAAGGACTGAGCAAGGTGGCAACACCCTCCCGAGGTTCAAAGGCAGAAATTCCCTCTTGGCTGTGGAGCCACGTTGGGGGGAAAGGTTGGTTTCACGCTTCCCTGTGCCCCTAGGGAGGAGAGCAACAGCAGCTCCGAGTCGGACAACACAGAACTCACCAGGATCGTGTGACCCGCCGCGGGTCCCCCCCTCGACACCTGGGGCTCTTCCACGGAGCCAGCCGGGGCCGGAGCAGCCTCGAGCAGCCGCCGTCGCCTCCACCGCGAGCTCTGCGCCGGTCTCGTGCCTTCCCCGGGACCCGCAGGGCGCTGGTAGTGTACATTACACAAATTGACCCTGCGCGGGCCGCTGGCGTGCCTCAGGGGGGAGAAAACCCTCCTCTGTGCCAGACCCCGGGGAGCAGAGCAGGTCCCGCGTCGGATCCTCCTGCTCCTAACGCTGGTGCCCGTGGCCGTCGTGCGCCCCGTTGGCACCGCGCTGCCTCGCGGCTCGCCTGCGGGACAGGGGATAAAGGTTAGTGTACATTACACTGTGACTGCAAAGGCGCCAAGGACACGAGCTCACCTCTGCTGTCTGCACGGGAGACACTTAATTTAGCGAGCTGGTCTGTTGTTTTTTTTATAGCGCCTCGATTAACTTAATGTAAATACGAAGCTGTTTCTTATTTGTATATGTCTGTACAGAAACCAAACGTGAGGACCTGTTAATATTAATGTACATAAAGTCAGCAGAGCTGCTGGGGGGTTCTTTGTCTCGCTGTTTCTCGGGCTCCATGCACACGCCATGCGCCCGACTTCCCGCAAGCCGACGGCATTCCGCATTGGAATGCCGTAATCCAGGCGGGCAGCGGCTCCCTGCTCCGTCGGCAGCCCAACAAAGGCTCTATTATTTCCTCCCTTTCAAGGAGGCAGCGGGGCGGAGGGAGGAATGAAATGGAAGCGGTGATGGGGGCAGAGAGCAGCGCCGGGAGCAGAGGGAAAGGCAGGGCGGGCTGCGGGCGGCGCTCGCTGCTGCCGCCCAGGGCCCGCGGGGCAGCTCTCGCCCTCGCAAGGGCGCTCGTGGAGGCTGGGGGTGGTTAGAGGGGTCCCTCTCTCAAGCAGACCCCTAACACGGGGTCCCCTGTCAAGTACACGTGGCTGAGAGCCCTCGCCAAGGGCAGCGCAGTGGAGGTTCCTTTTCTGGAGGTCTCCAACCCTGCCTGGGTGCCACCCCGTGCCACGTGCTCCAAGTGTCCCTGCTGGAGCAGAGGGTTTGGACTAGAGCATCTCTAAAGGTCCCTCCAACCTCAACCTTTCTGGGATTCTGTGTATGGACAAGGGTGGCTGGGGCACCAGGAGGTGAAGCAGCCACCAGCACGGTGGGGCAAAGACCCACAGGGTGAAGGGAGCACCGGGGCTCTGCTCTGTGTCCCCTCCCCACGGCCACCCCCTTTGTTAACCCGGCAAGCGCTGAGTGGAGCTGGGGCTCAGGGTAAGAGCAGCCCCTCTGCATCAGGGGCACCTGGGGAGAAAAATGAAGGGCAAGTTCAGAATTCCTCCATGTGGGGAGGAAAAAGAGGAGTCGGGGATGGAGGGAGGTAAAAATAGCAAGAGGGATTAATTTAGGCCTTAGCTGGGAATGCTCATGCAGGTGGGAAGGAGCAATGGGGGGGCGGCAGGGGGAAAAAGGGAGAGAGGATCCTGCAGCACCCAGGGATGTGGCCTCAAGGGAGCTGGGTGGGGGCAAGAGATGGGATTAGCCGGAGCCCTGGAGATCCTGCTCTCCCAGGGCCAGGATGGGGCTTGCGGAGGGACCGCGGCGCTGGGATCAGCCCCAGCGTGGAGCAGCCGAACCGGGGACCTGCAGCAGGGCGGGCAGGGGGGCATGTGCCCCACAGCAAGAGGGGGAGGATGAGGAGGCTCCAGCCATGCACGGAGCTTAGGGGGAACTGAGCTAGCCCTGGCCCTGTGCCCGGCCAGGTTGGTGAGCAGGCAGCTCGCTCATCCCGTCTGACTGCGACTTTATGAAAAACTGCTGCTCCCTTTCTTGCCTGGCTCTTGCTTTATTCTTTGCCTCCTCTTTTCAAGCTGTGGGGCTCACGCAGAGCCCGCATTTGGACTTTCTGCAACAAGCTCAGGAGACTGAAAGCACGCAGTGCTTGAAGCTGGGCCCAGAAATTCCTAGCTGAACACACCTCCGTGTGAGGCTTTAAAAAAAGAGGATGGGGGGAAAAATGACCAGGGGAGTTAACACCACTGCGCCCTGGGCAAAACTCCAGCGTCAAAGCAAAGCCCATGTCTAGCAGACGTGATTAGAGAGGCCTTTTAGGCCAAGCACGGAGGGAAAGGGGGCCTGGGGTGTGAGGAAGGCTCCGTGTCCCAGCAGACTTGCCCGGCCTGTGGGGCGATGGGGCTTGATCTGCACGTGCTTCGTGCCAAAGGCAGCGCCTCCGAGGGCTGCAAAGGCCTCTGTGCAGCCCTGGAGCCACCCCGGCCGTGTCCTCCAGGCTGGGCGCCAGAGCCCTGGGCAGCAGCTGACAGACAGCAGGGCCTGGGAAAGCCAAGCCTGAGGGTGGAAAATGCCGGGATCGGCTGCCTGCTCTGCACCTGCTAAGGGCACATGTGCCGGGGCTGTGCGGCGCCCACACTGTACATGGGGGAGAGAAAACGGCCCCAGTCCCAGCTGAGGGGCTTTAGGAGCTCAGCCAGGGCAGTGGGAACCCCTCGGACTGAGGGAACATCCCCGGCTGGAGGGGAGCTGGAAGGGGGCAGGTTTCTGTTTTGCTCAGGGAACCGGAGTCTTTTGTCCCTTTTTTTGCAAGCCAAGGCTGGCTGCAGGAGGCCGGTGTCACCCAGGGCAGGGTCACCCGCTGGCTGGCGGGTTCCTGGTAAGGACAGGCAGCTGGTGGCACCCCCCTCTCCGCCAGCCGAGCTGGGATCTGCAGGACGGGGCCTGCCTTTCCCTGCGGCTTCGTCCAGGGCACACGGGCATTCCCAGTGCTCCTTTCCAGCAGCAGCTCCTGCTTTCACATCCCCTCCATCAGCCCAGACAAGAGGCGGGCAGAGACCTTTAGCACAGGCACAAGCAGGGGACATAACCCAAGCAAATGCAGGGCCAGGCCTGCGGGGAGGGCAGCACGGGAACCTGCCGAACGGGAATTACATCCTCTGCATTGCCACCCTTGGATGCCACCCAGGCCAGGCACACGGACACCCTCTGTGACCAAGGCGATGGACAGAATCGGTGTTTCCAGACAGACTGGCGGGATCAGAGCACGGGAACCAGCCTCGGTTCACCCCAGGGGGATAAGTGCAAGTGTGAAAACGCTTTCCTTGCAGAGGGAAGGACTAACCGCCCTCTTTATCTGCAGGTAAAGGGGCAAAGAGCTACGGGCTTATCTCGCAGCGGGGATTTACGAAACTTTCATGAGTTGCTGCTGGGGGACAGTTTTCCCTCAGCCCCTGCACCAGAAGGGCCCACGAGCCCCGAGCTGCCCAGGGCAGCAGCAGGAAGCGCCGGGCTCTGGTTTCTCTGTTGCTTTGAGCTGCAGTGAGTGCAGGAGCGTCCCGGCAAGCGCAGCCGCTCAGCTCCCCGCCAGGGCCGGCGGAGTTAAACCGCGGCTCAGCCGACACCGGGGTCACCACAGCCGTGTCACCCCGCTGGGGTCACTCACCTCGTGAGCAAACACGGAGGCTGTCAGCCTGCATTGGTGCCTGTAGTTAATGTTTGCCAACCTCCCCAGCCTCCATGGCCCTGGGGCCCTCGGGGCTTTCATGCAGCCTCCCTTGGCGTCCGTGCACCCGTGGCCCTGGCGGCCCTCAGGAATTTGGTGACTTCCCTGGGTCTCCATGTGCACGTGGCTTCGGGAAACTCCAGGCTTTCACGTGGCCTCCCCGCTGCTTCCCCGCTGCTTCCTGAAGTTTCAAGACTGAGTTGCATGTTTGGCTTGGACACCCGCTAGGGGAGGCAGTCGAGCAAATCATCAAGGCCCTTCATTTTGCTCCGCTTTGTTAAGCCCCCTGCAGTACATCAGCGCCTGCAGTCTGCGCTCACGGCCTGCGTGGCGCATGAGCCTTGTTCCACTTGGCAGCTTTGCTGCGTTTGCAAAAAGCGGCACCACTCCCGGCCCAGCCCCACGAGCGGGGCAGAGGATTCGTCTTTGCCCTCCATTGCCAGCCCGCAGGGAAGTTCCCCTCCATTGCAGCCTGCCGCCGGCTGCAGCCGCGAAGCGCAGCGCGCCCAGGGCCGCCCCAGCAGCGGGAGCGGCGCCCGGCACCGCGTGGCGCGGAGCCCCGTGCGGCCCCGCCCCCTGCCAGCATAGCCCCGCCCCTGTAGCATAGCCCCGCCCCGTGCTGCGCAGTCCCGCCTCCGCTAGCATAGCCCCGCCCTCTGTTAGCATAGCCCCGCCCCAGTGTCGCGCAGCCCCGCCTCTGCCAGCATAGCCCCGCTCCCTGTTAGCATAGCCCCGCCCCAGTGTCGCGCAGCCCCGCCCTCTGCTAGCATAGTCCCGCCCCGTGTCGCACAGCCCCGCCCTTGCTAGCAGAGCCCCGCCCTCTGCTAGCAGAGCCCCGCCCCGTGCACCGTAGCCGCGCCCCACTCCTGCAACCCCGCCCCGTGGGCCGTAGCCCCGCCCCTGCCTCAGAGCCCCACCCCCGCCCTGCAGAGGCCCGCCCTCGGGGCCGCTTAGCCCCCGCCCCCGAGGAGCACGGCCCCGCCCCCTGGATCGCGCGCGCCCATTGGCCGCAAGGCACGGGGGCGGAGCCTGCGCGGCGGCGCGCGCAGTCGGCGGCGCGCAGTCGGCGGCAGCCATGGCTCCGAGCGCGCGGGCAGGCGCCGGGCGCGGGGCTCCGCCAGGGCATCCGCGCCGTCCTGCTGGGGCCGCCCGGCGCCGGCAAGGGCACGCAGGTGAGGGCGGCGGCCGGCACCGGGGCCCGCATCCGGGACACAGGCGGCCGGCCTTCCCCTCCCCCTCCCCCTCCCCAGGGGCCCAGGCGTCCGGGCTCCCAGGGCGGTCAGCTCTCTGCATCTCCGCCCTCCGGGGCTCAAGGGTCTCCCCTCATCCAGGAGGGTCCCTGGAGAGCAGCCTCCCCCGACCCACACAGGGCTCCGGGCGCTGTGTCCGGCCGCGTGTTGGCCGGCAGGGCGGGAGGAGGCCCGAGGGGGTGGCGGGGGGGGTCACCGTGTCCCCATCCCTGTCCCCATCCCTATCCCCATCCCTGTCCCCGGGATGGCACAGCCAGCCGGGACCTGCTCCCCACCGCATCCCTGCCCGCGCGCGGCTCTGCCCGGCGCATCCCGCTCCCCTCCTTCGCCCTGTCCCACAGGCACCCAAGCTGGCCGAGACCTACTGCGTGTGTCACCTGGCCACGGGGGACATGCTGCGGGCCATGGTGGCCTCGGGCTCCGAGCTGGGCCGCCGCCTCAAGGAGACCATGGACTCGGGGAAGCTGGTGGGTAGCGCGGGGCCGTGCTGGAGGTCGCCCTTTAGTGACAAGTGCCATAGCTGCCACTCAGGGAACAGCGAGAGCAGTGGGCAGCAATGGGGCCTTTGCCCCTTCCCTTTCCCCCTTCTTCTCCTGCAGAAAAAACATCCTTTCCCTGCCAAGGTCCCACTGAGCAGCACCTCGTGTGTCCCGGGGTTCTTACCCCTCAATGACTTTGGGCAGCGGGTGCAGCCTGGGGTCAAACTCCCGCAATTCCCTGTGATTTCTCCATCCTCGGAGCTGCGGGACATTGTTCCCAGGTCTCCTGGGCTGCAAACCAGTGTGCAGGTTTCGCCTGCACTCCGGCACGTGCGTGCCCGGGCTCTGCCTGTACCCGTCACGGTGAAACCAGACGCTCGGGAGGGCTAGTGCAGCGGGTGACGTGTGATGCTGCGCAATGGACGCGCTTGGGACCGCAGGCAGAGCAGCCAGGATCTTGGAAACGCTCGTGATTGTCTCCAAGAGTATCTGAAATCTCGTGTGCAAGACCGGATGGCCCCCAGTCTGTGCAGCGCGAGGCGGGTTTGGGACATCCCCGCTGGTTGCCATCGTCCCCTAAGCCCCCAGGGAAGGGGAGCTGCAGGCTCTGGGGCAGAGCAGTGACGTGGCTTATCCGCGCGTTGCAACAGAGCCTGCACCAGAGCCTGGTTATGAAAGATAGGGATGTTATCGGGAAGGTCTGGAGGCAGCTGCCGCGCAGTGACAGCTCCGTGTGCTGCGCTCCGGCTCGGAGATAACCACGGTGCTGGGAGCCCCAGCGCGGGCCTCCGCGTGTCCCACAGAGAGGAGGGTCACCGTGATCAGCAAAGTGCAGAAATCACCTGCTTCTTGCCCCAAATGGCCCCGGGCCAGCTGGAATCTTGGGAGGGCCCAAGCAAACTGCCTGGCTGCTCCAGGGACCTCCACACATGCCCTGGATGACCACTGGGCTCTAGCAGTGCTTGCCAAGTGCTGCAGCACAGACAGGAGTCTGTCCCCGTTGCCAGAGCCTGTCAGTAGCTCTCCGAGCTTCCCTCTTCACGCTGGGTTTACAAGGTGACGAGCAGCTCACGTGTTCTCTCCTTCCCGGCCAGAGTTGCCTGGCCAAGGAGGCTCCCACGTGACGGGTACAAAGTCCTTGGAATTACAGGTCCGTGCTGCTCCTCTCACAGCTTGGTTTAAAAGCAGCATCTTGGGTGGCTTGTGCTGGGGCTGGCGGTCCCCTTGCAGGCAGGGCTGAGGCGAGGGCTCCCGCGCACCGAGCTGGGGCCGGCGCTGCCCGTGCCCGGTGCTGAGCGCGCGCATCCCTCCCGCGCGCAGGTCAGCGACGAGATGGTGGTGGAGCTCATCGAGAAGAACCTGGACTCGCCTCCCTGCAGGAACGGCTTCCTGCTCGACGGCTTCCCCCGCACCGTGAAGCAGGCGGAGATGGTGGGTGAGCCCGCGCGGGCGCTGCTGCCGCGGCCCCTCGCCTGCCGCGGCCCCTGGACACGCGTTTTCTGTTGCAGCTGGACGAGCTCCTGGAGAAGAGGAGAGAGAAGCTGGACTCTGTCATCGAGTTCAGCATCCCTGACTCCTTGCTCATCCGGAGGATCACTGGGCGGTAACTCTCCTCTCTCAAAGCCTGGGGGCACGAGAGGGTTCCTGCTTTGTGGGGCTGCATCTTTGTTTTGGGCGCTCGCGTTGCTCAAGCCGCAGCCCTGCTGCAAGTCACGTTTCTGCTCTGTTTGAGCCTTTCCACCCTCATCCAACGCCTGCCCTCCCTGGCCCGTGCCAGCCTCCAACAGAGCCCCTTTTTGGCCCTATAAACAGATGCTGCTGGTAGGAATCCATGCACAGGGTGCCCCAGTGTGGATTTTGAGGCCAGTGTCTCCCAGTTAACACCCCTGTGCAGCTGCTTCTCTGGTGCTCTTGGTGCTGCCTCATGGGAGGCCGGGCAGCCTCCAGGGTCAGCGGGGACCATCAGGGACACACTCATCTCCCAGTGTTCCCGTTGGACAGCATCACCCCCGCGCTCCCTCTGCTCCCCCTTTCCGCAGCAAACCAGCCATTTCCTAATGCAGCTGCTTTTTTGTTGTTGCTTTTTGAAGAAGCCTTTCATACAAATATAGCTAAATGAGTTTTCCTTAATAGGGAGAGACTAACTGTTTTGCTCCTGCAGATGTTTCGGGCTGCTGAGGGGCAGGTCGGGGAGCCCTTGCCCTGGCATGGGGCACTCTGCTGACACTTGCTCTCTGCTTTAGGCTGATTCACCCGGCGAGCGGCCGTTCCTACCACGAGGAGTTCAGACCCCCGAAAGAGCCCATGAAGGACGATGTATGTGAGCTCCCGAGGCCGCAGCTCGCCTTGCTTTGGTTTAGCTGATGCTTTGCAGCATCCCTGCAAAAAAAACAAACCGAAACCCTCTTTTCCTTCTCTCCTGCCTTTCTGGGGAGCGTGGGGAAGCGGAGGCGACCGCACGGCGGGGAGCAGCGAAGGGGCCCAGCCGCTGAGCCTGGCTCCGCTGGCCTCCCGGCTCCTTGACTGTGTCCGTAGCTCCCACCACAGCGGGTGGCGACCGCCTTTCCTGCTGGGAAGCAACCGTAGCTGCCGCTGGCTCTCCTGGGGCTCCCTTTAAGCCGAGCGGTGCGTGCAGGGGCCAGGCGGCGACGGCGGCTCCTTCTCCGGGACTTGGCTTGGACGAGGGGGCTGGGGGTGCTGCAGCGGTGCCGGGGGGCAGCCCCCTGGACACTGTGCCCTTGCTTCTCGCAGGTCACCGGAGAGGCCCTGGTGCGGCGCTCGGATGACAACGAAGCAGCCTTGCGGACACGCCTGCAGGCCTATCACACGCAGACCGCGCCGCTCGTCTCCTACTACAGCAAGCGCGGGCTCCACACGGCCGTGGACGCTGCCCAGTCGCCCGACGTGGTCTTTGCCAGCATCCTGGCAGCCTTCTCGAGAGCAACATGTAAAGACCTCGTTATGTTCGTTTAGAGCTCTGTCCTAGCATGGAGCTCCCCTTTGGTTTTGTTTTTCTCTTCTTCTCTCTCTCCATCTCTCTCTCTGTCTCTTTGGGGCCAGGGAGGGAAGAGCTAAGCAGGGTAGAAGCGGGGACGATGCAGCGCAGGGCAGGTCTATGCAAACTCTCTATTAAACAGTTACCGGTCTCAATCTCCTACCTGTGCATGTCTGTCTGCTGGTGCTTCGGCCCCTAGAGGGAGCAGCGAGCCCAAGGTGCTGTCCTCTGCTGCCAGAAAGGGCCTTCGAGCCCCTTTGGGTCCATGAGCTTGTGCTTCCGCGGCTCTCTAGGAGAAAGAGAGGCGGTTGCTGCTGTTCCTGGCTGCTCCCCAGGGAACTAAGAGGAGAGCAGCGGCCAGGGCTGAGTGGAGGGGATACAGGGTGCCCCACGGGTGACGTTGTCTGATTGTAGGAAGCTGAACACGGGGGTTGCTCGTGGGAGCAAGTGAAGGGCTGTGCGTGTTGGCTGGGGGCTGCTTGTTCTCCCGAGTGCCCCTTTCTCTGCGTGACAGCGAGTTCCCCTGCAGCAAAGGCCCATTTTCCTCCCCACTCTGCTCGCCCCTGGGGCAGAAAGTGAGACAGAGAGCAGGGCAGAGATGGGGTTTTTGAGCCCTCTCGTCTCTGGACCCCAAAACCTCTTCCAGTCGAGCTGCAGGCCCCCGAGGTAGCAAATGGCAGCAAGAGGCTGTTTGTTCTTAACTAGTGCAGCCAAGTGGGGTCTGCAAGGATGAGAACAGGGCTCGAGTTGATTTTTTCTCTGCTTTTCCTGGGCCGCTGGCTGAGGAGATGAAGATGCCTTGAGCCTCTCCTGATCCAAATAAAGCCTTGTTTAAAAATGAATAATTTTAGAGGCCATTGAGATGGAACCACTAACCACTGCTTTCACATGCCCTTGAGCCAGCGACCTTCCTTATGAGATCATGGAAACGTTCTTGTTTCCTGGGAAAACCAAACAGCTCTGTTTGAAGACCCTAAACTGGTTAGTGCCTCGGCTTCCCAGGGTCTTACGCTGCTCTCTAACGACCCTAGAGCTGTAATGACCTTTGCTCATGTAAGAACTAAGCTCTGTCTAGCAGAAGCCCCTGCTGCAGATGCCACTTGCTGTCCTATGGCCTTCTGTATCTGTTTGCTGACTTAGTGTTACCGAGTCACCCTTCTTGTAGGGGAGATGACGCGTCTGCCTCTGCTCTGGGTGTCTGGAGCAAGTGCCAACCCTCAGGAAGCCTTTTCTGCTTTTCTTGGTAATTTCTCTGTTGTCCGAAAATCACTCGCTGGCCTTTTACGTCCTTTTCTAGGGAAAAAACCTCTTCCCTTTCAGCGAGCTGGAAATAACCTCAGAAACCGAAAGCAGCCGCCTTGTTCTTGAAAGCAGCCGAAAGGGGCCTGAGGGCAGCCAGCGATTCCTGTTGGAGCAGCAGCCCCTTGTCCCCAGGGCTCCCCAGGTGGCCTTGTCACCATCCCTGAGAAAGGGCAGCTCCAGCACGTGGAGCCGTTGAGCTCGGCGTCAAGGAGAGTGGCGTTAGAGCTGCCTCTGTCTCGCTGATCATTAGGGGACTGCAGGAGAAGCAGCTTTTATCTTGCGCTTCTTGGCCAGTTCGTGTTCCTGGATCTGGTCAAGGTTTTATTCTGCAGCAAGAACAACGTGTTCTTCCACTCTCTGCTCCTTTCCTTCTCATGTTTGCTTTGTATCCAGCTCGCCAGTCTTTTTTCAGCCATAAACCGTGATTCATTTTGTTTTTTTTTTCCCCTAAATCTATTTTTTTTCTCTTTGTTCCCGTTTATTCCAGCTGAGACTCCGTGACCCAGATGAGGCACCACCAAACGCTGCACGCTCTGCTCCATCACCCATTGGGTTCCTCCCGGGGGGCACGGGGCACACAGGGTGGGCAACGGAGAAGGGGTTCGACTGATAAGAGGGGGAAAGGAGCTGGCAGCCAAGGGGAATTGGGCTTATTTGTTTGGGGTTTTGTTTTTTGAGGGGGGATTTTTTTTATTCACCAGAATCGTTTTGAAGAGGAGACGACATCCTTAACAATCAGTGTTTGGAGGCAAAACAACTGTAGAGGGAAATATCCGGGCCAATGATCAGATACAGGTCTTTGACCTGCGAGGAGGACAGGGCTAGGTGCCAGCTGGGGCTTCTCCAGGAATTCCAGTGCCGGTCTGAGGCGCCCCTGGGACTCCAGGGCTAGTGGGAAGTTCACTGTGATTCCGACATGAATAAGCGACTCTGTAGCTCAGGAACTGAAAGTGAAAAGAGAGGCTGGGGTCTTTTCCCCGTAGTTTTGTGTTCTGTTGTTCCATGGCAGCCCCAGCATTTACTGCTCTAGGTTTTTCTGCCACTGAACAGGGGGGAATGGGGCTCTGGTCACCCTACCTGGTGACAGGGTGACTTTCCTGTGGTCTTGAGCGAACTGGAATTCACGTAGAGCTCAAGAAATGCACCGGAGTTTCTTACTCGACTACAAAAATGACACTTAATGGGTGTTTGCATTTCTTTATAGATCAAATGGTGCCTTGTCTAAACTGTGGATCGATAATAAAATAACCCCTTTACATTTTATATCTGTTGCCGTGTCCTCTTTGATCTGCAGACAACGTGGCAGAAGACAGGGAGCAGATGACAGCAATGGAGCGGGCTGGATCTTCTGGCCTGATCTTATCTCAACAGTGTTATTCTGTGCACTTAAAAATGTCTTGCAATTCCTTTTATTTCTTGTCTCTGCCGCCTGTGTTCCAGTGCTGTATTATCACCATAGCAATGTTGTCTCCTGCTGGTTCTCTCTCCCCTGTTCCTTGATGTGTAGAGCTGAAAGCACCGAACCCCTGTGTGTCCCAACCCTTTCCTGACCAGAGCTCCTTTCAGCTATTTTTATAGCTGACAGAATTCCTACATTCCCAGCCATGTTCCCCCCTCCTTTTGCAGCACTTGTGTGTGCAGGAGCTGATGTTCTTTTCCGCCCTCTCCTCCTGCAGCGACTGCAAGGCAAAGAGCATCTTCTGTGCCTTTTATCCCATGTCCCTACATGCACAAACCCTGTTCTAACACAAGGTTTGAGAGTGTCTTCCTGTCTCCCTTTATCCTGCCCCCAAAAGGACCCTGACCCTGCGACTGTCTCTCGGAGGTATCCGCAGAAAGGCTCTTTTTGGTGTGCCCATGAAGGCTCTCTGGGTTCCACAATGCCCTCGGTACCACAGTTGCAGCCCTGCTTGTGTCTGGTGTGTTGATTTAGGCTATGTAGATGGACACCAGCAAGGGTGAGGCTGCACGCACCCATTTGAGCATTTTTTGATTCTACGATTTCCTCCAGAAATGACTGGTTTCTTCAGCATTATTGAGCTCTCTTGCTCCTCAGCCATTCAGTCTCCCTGTGCTCTACTGTTTTTTACCTCTCCCATTACCATTTCCTCTCCTTTGAAGGCAACCCTGCCCTTCTCTGGCAGCAGTGCTGTTCTTCCCTCCTTTCTTTTGATGATGGATGTTCAGCTATGCTCCTCTTCATTACTGGTGACTCTGCCATCTCCCTCCAGGCCCACTGTTGTTCCAAGAAAAACCTGTTCCGCCTGCTCTTCCCAAGCTCCCAATCCGTGGGACGGAGGCGTCCTGGCTCCTCTGAGCTGGGCTTGATCCCCAACTTAGCCAGGTGTGGATCAGGAAACGCACTGTGGGAAAGGGCACCTTTGGGAAGCTCTTGAAGCTCAGTCAAGCCCATGTCCTCTCCGCCTGGATCTGTTCTGTGACCTGTCTCTGTGACGGTGACCTTGAATGTTTTCACAGTACAGGATGCTCTGCAGGTGCTGTAAATTCCTTCTGTTCAATGATTTCACTCCAGCAAGCTGCTTATCAGGCATTCTTTTGAAAAATATGTTCATATTTCACACGGACAATTATTCAGCAACTATAAAAGGGAAAAATTCCTATTTATAGCACAAGGCCAACATCAAATAGGACACTGAATTCTCCCTGATTAGAGGAATGACCTGTTCTCTAATGCAGCAATGGTTTGGCTGAAAAGCAGCAGCATCTTGGATGGGGGGGAAGGGACGAAAAGCCCCAGGCCATCTCTTCCCATTAAAGATGTGCTGCAGTCCTAAAAATACAGTACGTGCCCTTCTCCCTTCCTGATGAAACCATCTGCGAAAAAACACAGTGCAGAAAAACCTTTCATTGTGGATTTGTGGCGAGTAAGAACAAACCGGGTGATTCGTGCTGGTCTTAATTGGAGCCGTGATCGATGCCTGATCCCTGACCTTGGGACGGGAGCAAGGGCGGGCACTGCAACTGTGCTGTGGAAACGGTTCCGCTCTCCGGCCCGCGCGAGGGGCGATCGCGGTACGTGCAAAGCCCTGGTGCAGGAGAGCACGTGGCACTGAGGAACAAAGAAGTGGCTGAGAGCGATGAGCGGAGGGGCTGGGGAGGTGGGGAGGCCCCGTGGCGCTGCGCGGCTCTGCTCCCCCTTCCCTGCCTCCCCCTATGCCTCTACGGCCCCCAGCCTCCACTCCCCCCCTGCCCAGGATCCTGCCCTGCCCCTTCCCTGGCTCTTTGGGACAAGGGGTAGCAGAGGCCGGGGGGGACGTGGAGGAGCAGGGCTGGGATTCCCTCTTGTGTTGCTGTGGTAACTGCAGGGAAGGGAAGCGGGAGCCCCGCTGCTGCGGAGGCTCGGGCCCGGAGGCTGGGCTGCAGTGACATCACGCTGGGGAGGTGGCGCACAGCGAAGGCCAGCGGGAAGCGGAGAGCGAGGGAGGCTGCGGAAGGAAGGGAGCTGCACCAGCAGGGAGCCCCAGGGCAAGGTAAGAGATCCTTTGGGACGTCGGGCCAGGGCGGGCGCCGGGATGGGTACAGGACCAGAGTCTTCCTCGGTGTCTTTGTGGCTCCTGTGAGCTGGCCCTTGGCAGCGGCAAAGCTGTGCAGTGCTTTAACAGCTGGCACTGCAGGGCTTGGCTTCTGCACAGCAGGAACAGCTCAGAGCCCACACGGCTGGCGCTGACGCTGCAACGCGTCCCTCGGGATTCCAGCACGGAGCAGGAGGAAGCTCCAGCACAGTCCAAAAGGACAGGGGAGCATCCCTGGTATCTCTGGAGAGGACAAGAGGACTCCTCCAAGGACTAAGGCACAAATTGTTGAACAACCAAGTCAGAAGTTTGGAAAGCCAGCGCGCCCAATGTGTGTTCAGAGAGGGCTGCAGGCAGAGCAGGGCACAGGGCCACGGCCCAGGCGGGTGCATTTGCAGTGGGTCACCCAAACCACCCACCTCCAGCGCCTCAACACTTACCCTGCCCCTGCAGGACGCAATCCTTCAGCTGTGTGCTCGCTGCCAGCAGCGCTCCGCATGCTGATCCCGGGGATCCGCAGGCCTGGAAGGCAGAATCAGGAGGTCCTCACAAGTGCCCTGCGTGTCATGTTGCCTTTCAGCATCACAGTTGCATAACGGGATCCAATCTGCCAGCAGCGAGAACGAGGGGTGACGGTCACCTTTGTGGCCCGCTGCAGCCCCGCAGTACCTAAGCACAGTGCTGGCCGTTAGCCAGGGGGTGAATTTCATCTCTTTCTAATCCCAAAGCTGGGCTTGTTCTTTCCCTCTAATGCTTGATAAAGCTGGTGACTTTACAGCCCTGATCTCCTGGCAGAGAGACACAGAGCGTCTCTACCTACGAGCAGGCTGGGCAGCAGGGCCCTGCAGCACTAGAAAGTGAGTTCATTAGCAGCAGCTCAATCCGTGCTAAGCCGCCTTCCACCCACCCGGACCCACAAGGAGCATCTGCCTCAGAAAAGGGCAGTCAGGCTCATAGTCCCACTGTGGGCAACAACCTTTGGGGGCCATAAACCAGTTACTGGGCTGGAGATGGATAAGGCAAAGAGCAGGAGCTCAACTGGGCCAAAGACACCCTGTTTGAGACCCAAGAGTAGAGAAAAGCCAATGCCCTTGTCAAAACTCTTTGGTTAAAACGGTTTTCACATGTTAACCAAGTCTGCAGGTCACAAGAAGTCACCTAAAGGATGGGGGACAGCAGGATGGTCATGGGGAGACGGAGCAGGGAATGCTTGAGCAAATTGGACTGCAGTGAGGAGGCAGCATGCTGCTGACACCAGGTGTGTGACTGTCCCCCAGGAAGGCACCAGTGCTGGCGCTACAGGGAGCATTTGGGAATGGCCCAGGGTGGCTACAATGCAGTTTATTTTACAGCAAGCCTGCAAGAGGCAACAGCTTGTGCTGCTGCTTGCAATTTAGGGGACAGTGCTGGGTGAGAGGCCTCCCAGCTGGGACTTTCGGGAGCTGGCTGGCTGAAGGGAGCCTGCAGGGCTCCCTCGCAGGTGGCTGTGTGACCATCTGAATTTGGTGGCTCTGGCATGGGCACAGGAGCGAGGACGGGCCCTGCTGGCAGCTCTCTCTGTGCTGGGGAGCGGGCAGGGACCCGTTGTGGTTGGGCCCAAGCAGTCCCAAATGCCCCTACCTGGCAGCGGGCTCCTGGTGGCAGTTTGGAGAGGAGATAGCGGTGACCCCGCTGCGGCGCCTGTTCAGCTCCTCTGTCCGGGCACGGACCCGCCGGGTGTTTTCGCTCCTTGTTGGGCCTGCCGGGAGCCGCGGGGCAGGGCGGGCGCCTCTCTCTGCTACTGCCCTGCAGGCCCCCGCGCCACCTCCCTGCACCCTGCCTGGAACCTCCTCTTGCTCAGGTGGCTCTTTGTGGAACAAGCAAGGTCATTTGAGTGATCAATAGTGCCCTGGTACCTAACGGAAAGATCAGCCCTCTGCTTGGCCACATCAGCATTCACATCTCTGAAAACCCAGCCTTAGCGCTCCTTACCGCCAAGGGGATCCGAACGCATTTTTGCCCTACCTGGGTCCCACTTTATATTTCCCTTTTTTCCTGCTAATGTTGCCTTTTCTCTTTGGAGCAGAGAAATGCTGGGAGCATACGGGGAAATTGCCAAAGCTGCGCAACTCTCTCCATTCTCAGTCTCTCCTCGCTCCCTGTGCTGGCTGCTCGGAGGGCAGGAAGGACAGAGGCGCCGGGACCCACGCAGCCAAGGCCCTTGCTAACATAAATTAGCAAAGCCAAGGGCACTGCTCATATAAATCCTGGTCCACAGGCTCCAGGAAAACTTGGCTCAGTCAGGGCCAGCAAGAGAAAAGCTGCTGCCTTGGCATAGCAGGACCCACCTCTCAGGTCAGGGCAGAAGTAGGGTTGGAAGACACGGTGCCTGGAGCCCATGGCTGCAAATAAACTTCCCTGGCAAAAAGGCAAAGGCACTAACTCCCTGGAGCTCCTTTTCCACTGCTTCCATCCCAGACAGCCAAAAGCCGGGCCCTGGCATTGGAGTTTCCTCTCGCTGGAGGAGATTGCAGCGTTTGTTCCGCCACTAGGATGCCTGGAACATCCCTGCTGTGCGTTACAAGCATCTCTGAGCATCTCTGTCACTTCCAAACCAGAAAAGATCCTGGAGACTCAAGAGAAACCCACTTCCCCTCTTCGGCAGGGCTCTTCTTTCGGCCTCGCACATGCTTTTGTTGCCACCTCTCGCATGCCAAAGGCAGGAACAAACACTGGGGTTTGGCAGGACTCACAGCCTTGGCTTGCGGGCTGGGAAAGCGGCGTTCTTGGTCCTCGGCCCAGGGCATGAGGCTCTGCTCCATGTCCACTGCCAGGTTCTCCAGCTGTGATTCTGTTCCTTATCCCAGGCCGAGCGCGCTGTTCTTACACATGGGAGGCCAAGCAGCACCCTTGGGTGCTAGATGGCAACTCCTGCAGGGAATCCATGGAGAGGAGAGGGAATAGCTGGAGCAGGAACTAGAGCTCTGCAAACCCCTGCATATCCCATCCATAGAAGGATGTTATGGAGCTACCATAAGGCCCAAGGTCCCCATGTGCACCCACCACCCTGTAAACCCCCTGGCTCCATTCTCCTGTGAGGACAGCCCAACCTTGTCAGAGGGTTTAAGTAAATCAACCCCTTCTGACTGAGGCAACCCACAGATGAGGGCAACTCTGGTGAGGAAAGAAGCTCTCACAGGGGCACAGGACTCAGCTGCGAGTGGAGGCAGGGAGGGATAAGCGGAGTTTCCCGGCTGCAGTCCCGCCGGGAAGCCAGAGGAACAGGCTGGTGGTCTCAGCACCGGGTAGGGGCTCAGTGACAAACCCCGTTCACCTTTCCACGGCAGCAGAGGCACGAAGGCTGCTCCAAGCCACAGCTTCGCTCCCCGCGGCCCTGCCGCAGGCCACCGTGCGAAGCAGAGCACGGGGCTCCCGAGGGAGCTGCTCTGCCCCGCACGGGCTCCGGGCAGACTGGGCAGTCAAGTGTCAGGCAGCCGAACAGCACGTGAGAGACAGCATGACCCTGATCAAGCTGATTTTTCCAAGTGAGAAGCTCCTACATTTCCCACCTGGTGAATGCTGGCTCGGCCCTCTGGAAAATGACCCGCGTTTTCCTTGCTGCGAGGCCAGGGAGCGCACGCTGGGAGCACTGCGCCGCTCTCCTCATGCCGGCCGCAGGCGGGAGGTGCTGCCGGTGCCTTCCAGAATTGCTCCTCTTTCCCCTTTTCGCAGCTGTTGCTGGTTATGAAAATGGGAACGTTCCCCAGGCATTTCTCGGCAGGAACTGCCCTTTCCAGGGCTGACTGCATGCGCCAGCTCTTCCTCTTCCCTCCTCCTTACCGTTACGGGGCTGGGTACGTTCTAGTCTTGTCTAAGCACTGCCTGTCTCTGCTCCCCTTCTTCTCTGTTCTGATCCTCACATGGTGCAAAGGAAAGGCCTGTCGATCTGGCTTGTGAGAGAAAACATTTCCTCTTTGGCCTTAGATCAATAAAATTCTTCAAGTCCATTCTCCTCCCAAAGCACAAAGAAAGAAATAAGAAGTGTTGGGATCAGTCCTGTTGTCAGGATTTATTTCCCAAGGCGTCAGTCCACAAGCAAGTTGTTCTTCACAACAGAGAGGTTCTCTTGGAGCAGCTACCATCCTCACCTCGGGGGGAGCTGCGGGCACCACCAGGGCATCTCTCGGGAAAGTTGCTACTTCTTGCTGCTTCTGACACCAGCTTAGTAGACCTCGAGTGCAGGACTGCACTACGGACAAGAGAGAGCTTAAGGAAGGCAGCAGGGACACAGCAGCACTTACTGGAAGCTGTGCAAGTCTAAAGCTTAGCAAGATTCAAGGAGGAATCGAGTGTTTCTGTAGACAGCAAGATCATACAGAGGTTATTTCAGCAGGGTTGTAGACCCCAGGGCTCAAAGCTCAGGCCAGTTTCTGGGGGAAAGAAGGTAGCAGATCCAGAAAAAAAGGAACAAAAAAGCACAAAAATCACTCCCTCTCAGCCTACTTGCACTATCTGTTTTAGCTGCCAGTGCTGGCTATGCAGAGGACCATGCTGGCACAGAAAGAGGAGGATTCGGGCCACATCCTATCCAGGCCACATCCTATTCAGCAGGCTGGATGTTCCACTGGAAAGCCCAGATGGGGCAACTGAGCTAATGCAGAACCAAGCTGTTTGCCTCTGAAGAACTCCTTCCACTCTCTCTTCCACTTTTGCTGTGTGGCGAGGCAGGAAGCAGCATCTGGGACCCCAGGCACAAGTCAGTGGGCAGGAAAAAGCCCTTATTCTAATGGACAGATGAGTGTGTTAACACTGAGTACCCCTGAGCTCAGTTCCCTTCCTGACTCCTAGCCACACTTGAAGACAAAATTCCCTTGCTCTGTATGTTAGGGCTGGGAAAATGTCTGTCCCCAGGGCTGAGTTAAATGGTTGGTCAGTTCAGAAGGAAATGCTGCCTCATGGATTAACCTTTGACAGTTGGTTCACTCAAACACTGTAACTGGATTTGAAAATATCCTGATGGTTTTATGACCTTTAATAATGTTTGTGCTTCTGCACCAAGATAAGGATTGCCAGATTGCTCTGAGACATGACCAGATCCCCTTGGAGAGACACAGAAGGAATTTCTTCCTGTCTTCCCCTGTCCTTTTGTGATTATCACTGCTCTGCTTGTTTCCATGAAGTGCAGGAATAATCTGCAGCCAGTGTAGCGTGGCCTGGAGGGCTGAGCCCCCATGAGCAGCTCGTCTGAACCCCACTTCAGTTATGAGAATGATCTCTGTGTCACGAGACTTCAGGAGATGCTGAGATGTGCTTACTCTGGAAACTGCTTCAGACAGAGCAGGGCTGTAAGACTCAAGGGAAAGAGATGCTAGAAGCATCTGTGTCCTCAGAAGCAGAGTGAGGCCACATCTGTCCAGCTCTGGGCTCCCCAGGGTAAGACGGATGTGGAGCTGCTGGAGAGTCCAGCGCAGGGCTATGAGGATGATCAGGACCTGGAACACCTGCCCTATGAGGAAAGGCCGAGAGAGCTGGGCCTGTTCAGCCTGAGGAAGAGAAGGCTGAAAAGGCATTTGATTAAGTGTCTACAAATACCTCAAGGGAGGGAGTGAGGAGGATGGGTTGGCCTCTTTTCAGTGGTGGCCACTGATAGAACTGAAGCATCAAAAGTTCCACAGGAACTTAAGGAAAAAGTTCTTAACAGTGAGGGTGACACAGAGTCGGTGAAATTCTTAACAGTGACTGGTGAGCCCTGGAACAGGCTGCCCAGAGAGGTTGTAGAGTCTCCTTCTCTGGAGATCTTCAAAACACGCTTGGATACAGCCCTGTATCTTTACAGGGGACCTTTAAAGGTCCCCTGTAAAGAGAGGCGCTGCTAGGGTGAGCCATGTTCTTGTCTCCCTCAGGCCCTTCTCCTTCCAGGTGCTAAATGACAGGAGGTCCCTGGTCCTCAGCCCAATGGGACCTTCTCCCATGAGCAGATCGCTGCAAGGAGTGGATTCTACCAAGGCAGCAGGGATGTTGCAAAACGCAAGCCCCAGGATCATGGTGCCTGCTCCACTACAGAACAAAATAGGTCGTGCATCAGTAAATGAAAAAGGACAGATGGTGCCTGCTAATACAGCTTAGTTTATGGCCTGCAGGATTAACCCGCTAGTTGTCGTGCCTGCAGAACATAGGAAATGGGTGGGCCGGGTGGCGGAAGCGTGCGGTGCACCCAGCCCCACGTGTGTCTGTGGGATGCGCCAGCTGGAAAGGATGTCAGAGATGCTGAGTGGTTTCGAGAGGCTGCTTGGGCGTAAGTGCTAGAGCTGCTACCTAGTCCCAAACCTTCCCACCGAGCTCTGCCTGCCCCATCAGCACCACGAGACACACCCTGAGCCACGCAGGACCTCAGAGAGGCAGGGACAGTGTTTGTGGTCTATGTGGTGATAACCTCCAGGCAGGAGATGCTCGGCTGCCTGCCCTGCGCTGGCACAGACCAGCCTCCAGTTCAGCTCTTTGAACCCCCAAGCATCCACACGTCTGCAGGCGCGAGACCGAACAGCGAGGCAGACGCCTCGGGTCTCTCCACGCCTCTCTGTGACACACTGTTCTCCTTTCCTGGAAACCAGGCCAGTGCCTGTCTCTTCTCCTTGCACAAGTCAGGCTCTGTACCAGTGCTGTCGCTTCTCCGTGCCTGCTGTCTGAGGGCAGATCTAACCCTTCCCCAGCTTTTCAGGAATGCTCGTGAACTCAGGAATGCTCTTCTGAATGGTTCAAGGTTTTCTCTCTTGTGCTTGCTGGTGGCACCTGGCGGTCCCAGCACACAGTGTGCCATGGACAGGCAGCTGCCTCCAGCTAGCAGAGGGGTTTGTCTTCCCCATCTTCTAGTCACAACCAGTTGTCAGAGGCACCGAGGCTTTCTCCAGTGACTAATTTGTCTGTGTTCATGCCAACCCCAAACACATAATTGCCTGTTTAAGAGCTTGGGTGAGGAGGGAGCCTGGCTACTCCCTCTTACTGAAAGGATCAGGCCAGCGCCTTCCCGATGACAGCACCTTACTGGTTTAAACCTTCTCAGCTACAAATCCCACACGCTGAGGGACAGCAGGTCACCAGTAAGAGTGAAGCGAAAGTGGGGATCACCGCAACTTCTATCCCCAAAGCCGTACCCTCAAACGTGCAAGATAGGAGGTGTACAAACAAATTAGAACAGCCTCTGCTTGTGTCACAGAAAGAAATGCTTCTTTTGTGAAGGGGAAAAGCATATCAGATTACTATTATAAGTAGGCGGTTAACGCTCCCTACCTTACGTCACTGCTGAAGTGGAGTGGAGTTATATCCAAGGCCCTTTTCGGGTTCTCCTTTCCATGAGTATTGGCGACAGTGCCAAGTCCATCGCCCATCCGGCTGCCTGAGACCTGAGGATGGTGGATACATGAGCTCTAAGTTCTTCCCCCTCAACATCTCCCCCATCCCACCTCTTTTATGAGCTGCTGACAAGATTTGCCATATGCGTAGGTGGCTCCCAAGCTTGTGAGATGATTCCCAACTCCCCCCCATCATCTCCACCCGCAAAAGCCTTCAGGATTTCGAGGAGGGGGAGTGCAGCCTTTCTCTGTCTGCAAGGCTGTTTTGCAAAGCACATGCAATGTTTTTACAGCGCTGCATGTGGCAAGTCTCTCCCAGGATTTCACATGACAGTGTATTCCACGGAAAGTCATGGGAGTGGGAAGGTTGCTGTGCTCCGTGCGTGGGTGTTGGGATGGAGCAGAGTGGGATGGGGAGGTGGAAGAGAGAGGAGGTGTAACCAGAGAGAGGCAGAACCACCCTCTTGGGAGAGCCCTGAATTTCTGATCACAGGGTTCCCATCTCCTGCCTTTTGTTCTTCATTTAAAGGAATGTCAATCCTTGCTAAATCCAATAGAGACAAAGGGAATAAAGCAGAACCATCTCTTCCTTTCCTGTGCATATCTCATGAGACCGCAAGAAGCAAACACAAAACAGCTAGATCAACCCTGAAAGCGTGTGCAGAGCTGCACATGAGGGAGAGCTCTCCCTAGCCGCTAGTGTCTTCCCTGGAGAGAAATGAGTGGCCGTTAATGACATCTCCACCTGAGAGGTGAGCAGAGTGCGTGTCACTACAAGCCACATGTCGCCAGGGCTCTGTAGGGACCTCAATGAGGCTCAGCTCTGCACTGTGCAGCTAGAGTGAGCTGCCCCCACTCCACCCCGACAGGTTGAAAAATGCCCTTGTGACATCCCTTTGTCATCGTCTACAACCTGAGATGACAGCAACCTCGCAGGTTTGTCCACAGGGTGCCCCAGCACGGGCCTGGCTGTACTTGTACCCCATGACAGGGCTTGTAGGTGGGTCCTCAGGAGACAGCCCTGAGCTGTCACCTGCACTTTGGCACCAGTAAATCCTGCGGTGCGTAAAGGCCTTTAACAGCACCAGCTGCTTCACTTACACAGGGTCAAGATTCAGCCTGCCCAGACAGACTGGATCGTCCTGGATCTGCCAGGCAACCCTGCCCTGTCAGACAATGCAGAAAAAACCCCAGTCAGAGCTCCCAATTTAAAGCTATTCCTCTCTTTTCCTCATTTTACCTCGTCTGCGGCTATCTCGGAAAACAGCAACACAAGCTGGGTTTTCTCACAAATCCCATCTGTTCTGCAAGTACTTTGTGACCCAAGACCAACTGCCCATCCCTGCTTGGTTAGGAAACCCCGAGAAGCCCCATGCAATTCTGGAGAGAGCAGCCTGCTGCAGGGAGGGGTCCACGCTACGGTGCCAAAATGACCTGGAGGTTTCAGGGAGAGCGAACCCATGCGTGCCCCAAAACTGCTCTTTCCAGGCGCCCTCCTCCGTGGGGCGCCTGGGAAGCAGGGGTGCTGGGGACATGGCACGAGGGGCAGCTTTTATTTTATGATCCCCAATACAAGGCGGGCAGTGTCCGCCAGGCCCCCGCGCTGCTATATTCCCAGCATGGCCACTCCTTCCGTGCAAAGGCTTTGCAAATCCCTTCCCGGCAGCCAGCCTCTGCTTTCACTCTCCGAATTACACAGGGGAGTTTTCATTACGTCACCAGAGGCTCTTCCTCCTTGAGGACAGAGGTGCCTCTTTCACTGTGCGAGAGGGGTTTTTGGGGAGCAGCGGGAGGAGGCAGTTCTCTGGGAAGCAGCACGGAGCTTCCCAAAGGCTGCTCTTGTGCAGACAAAGGAAGGCAGTGTGGCTCTGGCAGGGCCCTGCCTGCAGTGCTGCTGGAAGCCTCCCTGCGAGGTACGGCACTTTCAGACAGCTTTAAAACTTGCCCGTGCCAAATCCCGCTCGGATTTGAGCGGGGCGGGGTCAGAAGTCAGCAACGTTCCAGCTTTCCGCCAGCACAAGCAAGAGCAGATTTGCCTATCAGAGTCCGATGTGCTGCGTGGTTCAAGGAAGCATTTGAAACCTCCCCCTTGCTGTTGTTTCTTTTCAAACGTCCCCCAGGCAAACGGTCAGCTGCTGACAATTCCCCTGCAGCCCCGGGGAGAGGCTAAGCTGATCTCACTCCCAATCAGTGGTTTCCCCTCCTTCCTGGCAGCACGCTTCCGTGTGCTCTCCTTCCCGGACTCGGGGATTTTTTCCCCCCCCCCTTGTTTTTCCTTTATTTTTTTTCTCTCCAGTTTGAATCAAAACAAACTACCGTGTTCAAACTGCTCCCTGGTCAGGAACGTGCTGAGCAGGAGCCTCCGCTCCTGGCAAGCGCTACGGAAACTCCTCCACAGAGAAACACCTCAGCTGCAGGGAGCTTGTTTTTAGGCAGATGGTAACGTCTGGACCACTGCAGGGTCAGGGCAGCTAGAAGAAACCTGCACCCACCAGGAGCAGAAAGTGCTGAATTCATTCAGCTTGCCAAGACTGGCAAAAAGTCTAAACAGCCTAGGGGCTGGGAAGGTAGAAAATAGCCTGCAGGAGCCCCTCAGATCCACCGTGGCCTCCCCCAGCCCTGGTCCCTCGCATAAAGGCCCGAGGAGCCGTTTCTGCGCCGTCAGCACGTCGCGAGCCGATGCATTACCCAGCAGCTCCAGATGGTTTTGCTCTCTGTCTCTCTCTGTCTGCACTACTGGTAATTCAGGCCTGTCTCGCGTTGGCTTTGAAGATGAAACCTTCCCACAATTAGTTACAGTCTGTGCTCTCGCGCTGCAAAGGGCGCAGGGCTGCCAGAGCACGGTCTGGGAGATCCATCCCACGCCAGAGCCCTGCTCGGGTTTCTCTGTTTCAGTCAGGATTGCGATTTTTCTAGTGAAGTCATCAAACCAAGGCAGCCTCTGCTCCAGACGGGTAGTGACAGCCAGAGACACCTCATACCTGGCCCACCTCAGATTAAAAACAGCCACTTTCACTATAACCTCACTTTAGAGCCACGTTACAACATCTCGTCCTTCCTTTTCTGGCCTTCGCTCCCTAACAGTGAAATGGGAACGCTTCCTCTTGCATTGCTGCATTTTGGGGGCTTTACAACCCAAATGTTACCAAACTGCTACGCATTTTACTTCCTAACCAGAGCCGGCAGCCTGCTAGGTACCAGAGCTGAGCAATTCCCACTGCTCTGGGGCAAAGCGCTCCGCAGACACCCTGGTAACACCACCGCCTCGCCGGGAGCAGAGCTGCTTGGCTCTCGTTAAATCAGTGCTAATAACAGGGTTCTCGATCCCAGACAGGATCTGGGCAGTCTGAGGCTAAGTGTAAACGTGGTCCAAAGCATCTGGCCGGGCCAAAGCCCTGCGTCTCGTGGCAGGAATGCCAGAGCACGGCAGTGCCAAGGGAGAACAGCGAATGGTCAAAGACAAATTCCAGGGACAGACACGGGTGCCGCACATTGGGATTACCATTGAGCAACGGGAAGCAAAGGGCACAAAACTGCTTGAGGAAAGCACAGGGAAAGCAACAACTTGGGAAGAAGGGTAAGAGGAGGGGAGGAGGCTTCACATGCAGGTGATGTTCTCTACCGGGAGAAACCGCCTCAGGGCTGCAAGGTGCCGATACAGATGCATTTTCCTGCTGGATGAAGCAGCTACAGCCCACCCAGTAGAGCCGGGCTGTGCACAGGGAAAGCTGCCCCTTCCGTGTCTGGCTTCACCCATGCTTCACAGACACAGAGGCTCTTTCTGCTTTGCCTGACCAGCACAGCAAGAGCCAGCAGCTTTCCCAGGAACTTATCCGCTTTTGGGGAAGAGCTGGTGCCAGCCGGGCACCCCGTGGGTGCCAGGAACCCGCTGTGGCCCCGTGAGGAAGGGGAGGCTCCCGAGCTGCAGCAACTCACCGGGGAACACCCGGGCTGTTACCGCAGGGCTCCCCCAGGGTGGGGGGACAGGCCAAGCTCGGCCTCGGGTGGTGGGCGAGCACCGAAGGGAGCCGCGAGGCGCCGAGGAGAGGGCGGGCGGCCCGGGCAGGCCTTGCAGGGCCCAGCTCCTCTGGGGGCCGCGGCTCCGAGCAGGCCCGTGAGGTGCCGCCGGCTCCCTTGACTCACCGGTAACATCCCGGCGCCCGGGGGAGCCTCGCGGCGGCCCGAGGAGCCGCCGGTGCCCGCGGGCTGCAGGCCGCAACGACCACCCGCCACCCCCGGCCTCACACGGCGCCCGCGCCAACA